TTTCTACCAGAAATTTGTGATTTCTGGTAGAAATTTAAAATGATTGTGTTGTGTATTTAGCTTCACATTAATTGTGTTCAGATTAAATGCAAAGCTGGGTTTCAGAGCACTGCTCTTTAGTCTTGTGTTATGTGCTGCAAATATCCTTCATCCCAGTGAAATGAGCTTTAGTTAAAGCTGCTCAGCGAGGCATAATTCTGTCAAACGTTTTTCTTAGATAAACACCCAAATGATGTCAGTAACTGCTCTAAAACTAAAAGACTAAGACAAAAGACTTTGTAATGGATAAAGGACAGTCTATCCCCATCACCCTGATTAAAATTGTAATGCACAGACTAAAATTCTGCTCATTTTTGCTTCCTTTTTGAGTTAATTTTGTGAATTAAAGAATGCCTTTGCAGCTCTCAGTTTTGTACTTAAACTCTCTGATGTTTTAAAATGTCAGCTTTTAGCCTGTTGCTTCCGGACAGATGTTAAAACCTGCTGCTGTTTTGTGTTTCCAGGTTCCTCAGAGGACGACCTCCATCTCTCCGGCTTTGGTCAGGAAGAACTCTCCTGGAAACGGGCCAGGCCTCGGCCCGCGGGCCGGCGCTCACCTCATACGGGCCAGGTATGCACAGCTCCGATGTCGACCGGTGGAAATGTGGGTGTGGGTATTTGTTCACAGTCATGTCTGAGGCAACGCTGTGTTTGTGTTACTGTAGCAACCCTGACCTGCGGAGGCCCGACATGTACTTGGACACTCCCCTGAAGAGAACAAGCAGCGGCAGCTCCTCCAGCTCCAGCACCCCCAGCTCTCAGGGAGGCTCCAACGAGCGCGGTGAGTCACCTGTTTGTCTGCGAACTCACAAAAACCTGACCTGAACCCACGAAACCCAGTCTGAGCGCCCAAGCAGGCCTTTGAAGGTCTCTCTCAGTGTAAAGGTACTGTTTGTAATTACCCTCTGAAACTTTTTTGCTTAAACTCTCACCACCAGGGGGCAGCGTTTTATTAGTTGAGATGTTTTTAGATATTTTGATGTCTCATTTTCGTTAATATTTCATGCTTGTTGAACTTGTTTCCTTAACAAGTTAAAATTTTTTCCATTAGTACTCGACATCGCTCAACGCGACTCAAGGTGGTACAGCTCGCCTCGCCTCATTTTCTCAGTGTGCGTGGTCCTGGTTATAGTAACGTGTCCGAGGTTGTGATAATTAGTATGTGACATGAACGCTAAAACAATGATATACCTGCTGCTCGGCCTGAAGCTTTTAGTCACACTCAAGGATCACGGCGTTGGTTTTTGTGGCCTTTTCACTCATTGCCAGGTTTCAGAAATGTTCGTTTTGATTTCGTGAGCGAGACGCTCTCATGACTCATCGAGTGACGCCACTGACCAGCAATCGGTGGCTTGCAGTCTTTTGACGTCACATTTTTGCCTTGGATCACTTGGAACCTCGACAGAGTAGGTACTAAGACGTACCTGGTAACAGGTACTTTGCGTTCGTAATGGCCAACCTGATTAAATAAAGGTCACACTGACTTGCTGCACCACCTTGTGGTTCAAATTGGTATTGCGTTAAAGTCTAACCTCACCTTATATTTCCCTATGCACAGACGTTTTGGACGTAAAGTCATAGCAGTTGATTTTTTTACGCTCAGTTGATAATTTTGGATTTTGGAAGGCTCACCAAACCCACTGGTGAAATGCTGCCCCCTAGTGGAGATATTTGTAAAGGGTAATTACAAAAAGTGCCTTTAAATTGCTTCTTAGAATTCTTTCTTAGCGTTCTGTCTTCCCCAATTCGTGCAAGCTCTGCTGTTTTATGAAAAACATCCTCTTGTGTTTGGGTTTTAGGTAATTCAGCCTCTAAGACTGAAGGCCACGACGCCAAAGACGACAACAGAGAGATAACCCGACCCAGCAGGCCTGCAGTGAGTACACACTGTGTATAACACAAACACACACACACTCCTGCAGCTCTCCTGTGTGTGGCAGTGCCACAAACCCCCGTAAGATTAAGAATACTCATTAAATAAACATGCGGTGAAAGCCTGACTGACTCTTCTCTCTGAACTAACCTCTTCCTGTCCTCCATCCCTCCTCCATCGTCCGTCAGAGCTATAAGAAAGCTGTAGACGAGGTTAGTGATGTTTCTCCTCCTTCATCGCTCTGTCTCATCACCTCACCGCACTGGCACCCTCACATACGTTCTGAATAAACTCCCGATGTTACCCTGTGCGATTCTTTCAGAATAAAATCATGCTCGGCTTGTGATATTTCTTTCACTCACATTAACACAGGCTTCGGCCCAGATAATAATGAGAGCTGGAAAAGTTGAACAGCCGTAAATGCTCCTCGCTGAGAAGCCCTCCAGCAAAGCCTTTGATTTTTAGTTTCTTGCTGTGAATTTTCACTTTGAATGAATAAAAAACACAGTTTGGAAAACTGTCTCCAGATGCTTTGAAGTTTCTTAGAATAGACTTTAATTTTCACCAACTTTCCACTTGTTCTCATGTATGTATCATCGATTCATGCTGCTTTTTTAAATTCATTATCAGGTTTTCATACCGAATAAGTTATATTTGTATTTTTAAGGTCTTTGTTTTCAAAGGAAGTTCTCAAGAAATATCTTATTTTCCAAATTTCCTTCACTTCCTGAAAGTTTAAAAGAAGAAAAAGTCTCTCCTATTTCAAAAAAGATTTAAAGCTTAATCAAAATCATCCAAACTTCTCTTTCTGAAATTATTCTCAATCAGTTTCAAAATAAAAGGTCTTAAAAAAATCAAAAGTTACTGTTTTCCAATAAAAATCTTCTTACTTTTGGAAAATGTGTCTGAAAACATTCCCTTCTGTTTCCTGTCAAAGAGACTCGGTCTGGATTTAATAAGTTATAATTATGAGTAATAATTATAACTTGTGTCATTTCCACATGTGCCCCCCCCCCTCCCCTTTTCTTCCTTGTTATCATTTCTCTCCAGGAGTTGGTAAGACCCCCCTCCCCCCGTGCCCCACCAAAGCCCCACTTCCTACCCACTGCTCACGTGCACGTTTTCCTGCTGTGAACTGAAGATGTTTACACGTAGTTGTTTTGCTGAGTCTCTGATTCGTTCGCAGGATCAGGATTGGACGATGATTCAAAGTTCAAATAATCACAACTCAAACCTTTCTTACTGACAGAGTGCAGAGTGAAATACTTTTGGTCTTTTAATCCTTTGAATTTAGTTCCTAGTAATTTAAATGAAATGTTTATATTCACCTTATTACATTTCTAATAATAGCCAAAGACATCCTATATTTATTATTTATATTGATAATGTCTGATATTTTAGTTTGTTTTGTCTGTTTTTACATTTTCTTCATTTCAACATTTATTTATATTAATATTTTATATTTATAGTATTTTTTAGAATGCTGTTTATATTTTATAGTGTAAAATTACTTCAGATTTTTAGATAAATTTACTGTATTTATATGATTACTTTATTACTTATTTTTGTAGCAACTTTATTATTTTGTAGTAAATTATTATGGATTTTATAATCATCCTAATTTATAAAATTATTCATTATTTAATATACAGATGATAAATATATTATCTGTATATTTATGAGTGTATTATTTTTTTGTGTTTTATGGGGTGTTTTAAATTTCCAATAAAACATTTTCCTCCTGTACGTGGTTTGTGAGGCTCACAGTGAAACCACAGTGCTGCACAGAGTTCTCGTGTGAAGGTTTAATGCATTAAGGAGGTCTTACAGGAGAAGCTTTTGGTTATTCTTGTGATCCAGAGAAAAACATTTACTGTCGTATTAAACTTCACAACAGGAAAATGTTGCAAAGAGCATCTCAGCTGTAAAGACAGGATATCGGCTGCTTTTCAAACCATCGCCAAACATTTCTAACTTGTTTAAACTGGTGCTGCTGTGACGTGTTTGCAGCAGAGCACAGAAGCTGGATGAGGCGTCAGGGTGCATGTACCTGGCTGCTCGCTGTAAAATATCACAGAGGCTCAAGTCTGCTGAACTTTGACCTCCCACTTTGAGGCATGGTGCATCCTCCTTCTCTCACTTCACCGTCCTCCTCTCGACGGACTCGCTAACGGCTTGCATGGTGGCACAAAAACCAAAAACACATTTGCTTCCCGCTCTTTGCTTCTGAGCCGCTGCAGCGCCGCAAAGAGGCAGGAGAGCTGCGAAAGTCACTGAAGCGTTCCAGGATTGCACAAAATAAGGAATATCAGACATGCAGCTTTTTTTATTGTGGGGGGGCATAATCCAGGATGATGAGAGATGTTTGTGATAGCATGTTTCACTTTGTTCCACCTCAAACTTTGCAGCACAGACTGTGAGATTTTTGTGTAAAAATGAATTTCCTTAAATGATTGATTTAAGGAAACGTCGCCTCAGGTCAGCTTTGTTTCATCTCTTTGATCGCTGTGTTTTTATATTACTGTGATTTTCTTATTGTAAAAATGTTTCCTGCCTTGAATTTGTTGTGACTCTTTCTCTCAGACAACTTGTATAGTTCGTCTGGTCTCTGGTGTCGAGCAAGTGAATTCTGAAATATCGTTTAAAATTAAAATTGCTTTTGCTGCCAAATTACTTTTCCTTCATCAACGCTCTTACTCGGCTAATTAAACACTTTATTTTCAGTGTGATATTAATCTAAAATTTAATGAAATGCAAATCTGTCTTCACACCTGAGAGTTGTGCTTTTGTGGTGTTGGAACAGCTTAGCAGAGCTTTTTAGACGTGATAGTTAGGCTACAAAAGACTTTCATAGATGGACCGAATTCCTTTCAGTTATGATGTTTAAACCTCCAAGAAGCCACACGCCGGATATATAAGAAGATAAACTTATTAAAGACAAAAATAGTTATTGCATGATCATTTTGGACCTGCACACTACTGACTTACAGAAATGAAGAAAATAAGTGTTGAGTCACTTTTGAATTTGTCTTCCTGCAGGATCTGACGGCTCTGGCCAAAGAGCTTAGAGAGCTGCGGCAGGGCGAGGAAACCAGCCGCCCGCCGGTCAAAGTGACTGACTACTCGTCGTCCAGTGAGGAGTCCCACAGCAGCGAGGATGAGGAGGGAGAGGGCGGGGCTAACGATGGATCCGTGGCCGTCAGTGATATCCCACGCATCATGTGAGTGATGGTGATAATTCAGGAATAGCTTTGCATCCAAACCAACGAAGAGCACGACCACAGACCGTACCAGCTAACGTTTAGGTCTGAGCACGGAGACGGAAAGAAACACCTGTAAGAAATGTTTCTTAATCATTTTTTAATAAAAGGGATTTTGTAAAGGATGGATGCAGCTCAGGATCCAACTGCAGGAAGCACAAAGGTTTAATCTTTGGGTGAGGTCAAAGGGAATCAGTCAGTGTGCCATCAAATAAGGCGCAGACAAAAGTACATAAAGAATTCAAACACGCAGGAAAAATTGCAGCTAAAAAGGACAACGATGGAGCAAATGGTTAGAGGCAGGCTGTGATTGGCTAATAGGAAGCAGGTGTGAAACACAACAAAGATGATGCCAGTTAGGGCGAGGCTTTTAATCACAGAGGAGGGAACACTAACAGCAGTGTGAGCAGACTAAGATTTTACAAAATAAAACAGGAAACGACAGAAACCCAACAGGAAGTGCCTTAAGTCTGGATTCTTTCTAATAATAGCCACCAGGAGGCGACTCTTCTGAATGCAAACAAAGAAACATTTTCCAGGTGTGCTTATGGGCTCAGTCACCCATTTCAGGTCATAGCAAACCATTAAGTCCTTTTTGTAAATTTTGGTCATTATGAGGGTTACGCAGGAGGATGCACATCGGCTAATGATGCACAGCGCTATTAGTGCAGCTCGGAGGACGGTTTGCTTTCACAAACATTTGGCCGATACTTGTTTTGCAGTTAAGAGGCGACTTTTGTGTTTTTCCCTTGTTTTCCCAAAGTCTGCAGCTCTGTGCTACACTCATCATTCATCTGGCAAACCTTCCTTTTCTATGTTTCACTGTGAAACAACAGCTTCAAGCCCCTCTTGCACAAGATGATCTATATGCAGTATTTATGCAGTACTGAGTGGGTTTTTTGTACTTCTTACTTGTTTCTCTACACGCCATTATCACATATATAACCCAGGAGACGGATCTGTTCAAATTGTTAAGCTCTTATTTTAAAGTCAGATGCGTCTGTTTAAAAAAAAACATTTTAAAAAAGTTCTTAAAAGATGATAAAAATCTGTTTTTCAGGCCCGCTGCGAGTCAGAGCACCAACGAGTCCTTCGGCACAGCGGGAGAGCACAACGACACCAACGAGGACACGTATGCAAACAGCTCCCAGGACAGCACCATGGTGATGCGTGAGGTGAGTCTCCGTTTTAACCTTTGACCTTGACTGCACAGAAACCGACACTCATCATCTCTGCACCAGATTTGTTGCTTTTTTACTGAGTAGAGTAGCAGTGATCGTGGTCTGTTTACACAGTTTGCCCTCAAATATGATTCAAAATCAGCTTTACAAAACAAACTGATTTAAACAGTTTGTTTAGAATATGCTTTGGGGCTTTTATTGTGAAAGGACAGAGTGTAAGGGGAAAACGCACAGAAAATGGCCCAAAGCGAAGCTGAACCTTTGCCTCTGCACTAGGCCAGTGAGCTGGAGCTGAAAGCACAGTTTAGAGTTAATAACTGATTATTATTCAAATAATCTTTGAACTCCGCTGAAGGTTTTGGAGAAAACAATCTAAGAGACTCACCACAGTGTAAGTGTGTGTTAAAGGCCAAGCGTGGTAGAAACACAGACCTGATAGCACATGTGCCCACCCTCCCCAGTTTAAAAATAACACTGAAACAAGCACACCTGCATGGGTCCCGCCTCCCTCCATCACCTGACCTGTCAAACAGCCTCGCTGCACAGTAGCCCGCCCCTCTCTCTCTTTTTCCAGAAACACAGGGAACGGAGGCGGAGCTCAACCGCCAGCAACGGTTTCCCCGGCAAACTGTTCTATGGCAGCGCCAATCTCCCCGATTTGGTGCAGCAAAGCACCTCCCCCCTGGTCTCTCCAGGGGATGCCTCTGGGGTCCAAGTAGGTGGAGCAGCACCCAGATATCGGCCCTGAAATCCTCTCCACCCTAAACCTCCCCGTATCCTGACAAACCTCAACCCTGCTCGCCCCGACACCTGCCCACACTCCCCATCACCAGCTGTCTGCTGCTTTATCAGGGTGGGAAATTACCAGCAGCCACATTTAAGGCTGAGGTTATTGAAGCTTGTGGACTAAATGAATAAAAGGTGCATATGTAGTTTCAGAGGATTGGCCACAAAACCGAGCGCTTGTACAAGATCATCTTCTTGTGCACATCTGGAACGATTTCAACACTGCTCATATATTTAGGCCGCTCAGTTTTGTCTCCTTATACTTCCGATGAGCGGATCTCAGTGATCCTTTGCTTCGATCCTTTGCCAGTCACGCTGTACGAAAGGGTCCTTAAGGTGGCCGTTGTTGTGAATTGGAGCTACAGGAAGGAAACTGAATTGATTTCAAAGAAGAGAAAACTCAATGTCAAATCTAACACGGTGAGATGCCCCCGAAAAGTTTTATATGTGAACAAAAGTGGCACCTTTAATTTCCTGCCCTGTTTGACTCAACCTGCCTTGCTCTACTCGTTTGATCCTTCTTCGTTTGTTCCTCCCTCGCTCAGTTTTCCAGCCTCTGATCCAGGAAGTAACCCCTTTCCTTTTTCTGAGCACCTGATACAGGTCTCTGACAAAATACAGGAAACACTGATGAGGACCGGTTTATATTTTGTGACACTTCATAGAAAAATCTTTGTGTTTCCTATATTTTGATCCCAGTTTTTCTATACAGATTTTTTGCTGTTCGTGGTAAATGTTTGACAAACACGTGTTGGACTGTAAAGTCTGTGTTTCTGTGGCTTGCAGTTTGGCATGGGAGGCAGCGGAGGCTCCAAGTCCTCCTTCACGCCATTTGTTGATCCGAGGGTGTACGGGACCTCCCCGACCGACGAAGATGATAAAACCTCAGCCTCAGGTAGGCTTCTCTTCTAATTTAAAGCATCAGTCACATGAGCAGGTGGCGTACAGTAAACGCAGCCTGGCAGCAAACTGTTTTTACCCTCTGAAAGGTCAAATATAGTGTTAGTGCTGCTGATGCTTCTAACCCGAAAATCTCAGGTTAAAGTTTCTATAGTAGCCATGCATCTGCAAGCTGCTTTGCAACCCACATCCTGACAGCCTGACTTAATCATGTTTGTATCTGTTATTATTGATTGCCAGTGTTTTTATATATAGATAGATAGATAGATATGTAGTCTAATTTATAATTATGAAAATAATAGAATCCAATATATTAGTAGCGTAAAATGAAAAAATAGTGTAAAATATTGTGTTATTGTCTCAGGGATGGGGCAGCTGCAGATGAGATGATGATGCATTTTGTTGTACTTTGTGCTGCAGCGCTGTTTGCTGATGAGTTGCTGAAGCAGGAGCAGGAGCAGGCGAGGCTCAACGAGGCCCGCAAGATCTCCGTGGTCAACGTCAACCCCACTAACATCAGGCCGCACAGCGACACGCCCGAGATCCGTAAATACAAGAAACGCTTCAACTCGGAGATCCTCTGTGCGGCTCTCTGGGGTAAAACTGTCACGTCAGCAACAGCCTCGTGATAATTTGAATCCCGTGCAGATACAGAGGCGCTAAAAAGGAAGCGTGTGTGTGTTTTGGGCAGGAGTGAACCTGCTGGTGGGAACGGAGAACGGCCTGATGCTGCTGGATCGAAGCGGTCAAGGCAAAGTTTACAACCTGATCAATCGAAGGCGCTTCCAACAGATGGACGTCCTGGAGGGACTCAACGTCCTGGTCACCATCTCAGGTTGGCAGCTGATTTCACCAAATGCCACATCACAGATCCACAGTTGATGGGTTAAACTCACAAAGACGCAGACACCATTGAATTTATGTTTGTTCCATACAGGAAATGAATTATCATTTCATTTGAGTTCTGAATTTTCCTCCAAAACAGGGAAGAAGAACAAGCTGCGGGTTTACTACCTGTCCTGGCTGAGGAACAGGATATTACACAATGACCCTGAAGTGGAGAAGAAACAGGGTTGGATTACAGTCGGGGACCTGGAGGGCTGCGTGCATTACAAAGTCGGTACGTTCAGATCGGGAGACGTGCGGACCTGTTCACTAACAAACTAGAAATTAATATCTATCTTATGTTGAATTAAAATCTTTTTTAGCTGAAATCCTGAGATTTCACATTAAAATGTGTCTTTATTTCTGCAGTGAAGTACGAGAGGATTAAATTCTTGGTGATTGCTCTGAAGAACTCAGTTGAGATCTATGCCTGGGCACCTAAACCTTACCACAAGTTTATGGCTTTCAAGGTAATCAAGCTAAGACTTGTGATATTTGGACAAGTCCATGATACTGATTTCTTTGTATTTCTTTATTTTATTTGTCTTCTGCAACTAGAGAGGAAATATCACACGCCTGATTCACAAAGTTATATCCAGCTGCTTTAGTGCATGACTGAACCTCAGTCAATCTTCTTTTCTCTGTCTGCCAGTCTTTCACTGACCTGCAGCATCGCCCCCAGCTGGTGGACCTGACTGTAGAGGAAGGGCAGAGGTTAAAGGTCATCTACGGCTCTAGTGTTGGCTTCCATGTAATTGATGTGGATTCTGGAAATCCCTACGACATCTACATCCCCTCACATGTAAGTGTGTGTGTGTGTGTGTGTGTGTGTGTGTGTGTGTGTGTGTGTGTGTGTGTG